GGGACCGTACAGAAATCTGGAACCTGCCACTGGCCATTACAATCATGTGGGCAGAATTAAAAAGTAGAGCGAGAAGGGAAAGCGGGAGGATTCCCTGCCTCACGCTACTTCTTCGTTTTTCGTTCCTTTTTCTTTCTTTCTTTCTTCCTTTTTTTTTTTTTTTTTTTTTGAGGCAGGGTCTCACTATGTTGCCCAGGCTGGTCTCAAACTCCTGGCCTCTAGAGATCCTCCTGCCTCGGCCTTTCAAAGCACCAGGATTACAGACATGAGCCACCATGCTCAGCCTCCTTCTGACCATCATTTCTTCTCTTTCCCTGCCTGCCTTCATTTTCTCCCCAATCTAGATTTCTTCCTGACCTCTATGCCCACTGACTCCTTCAGTGTTTCCACTCTGCCCCTCCCAGAGGTTCAGTGTTTTGTGTTCAATGTCGAGTACATGAATTGCACTTGGAACAGCAGCTCTGAGCCCCAGCCTACCAACCTTACTCTGCACTATTGGTATGAGAAGGGAAAAGGGGGGAGGGGAGGAACAAGAGGTGGGTTGGATCAGAGACCAAGAAGGAGGGTAGCAAGTCTCCCAGGTGCCCTACTGTTTTCTCCTGGGGTAAGTCATAAGTTGGTTGAGGGGAGATGAGGCTAGGCTCCGGATATCTGCGGTACTCAGATTGGCCCCAGTGTTCCTCTTCCTTCCAACCCTTCTCCTCTAGGTACAAGAACTCGGATAATGATAAAGTCCAGAAGTGCAGCCACTATCTATTTGCTGACGAAATCACTTCTGGCTGTCAGCTGCAAAAAAAGGAGATCCACCTCTACCAAACATTTGTTGTTCAGCTCCAGGACCCGCGGGAACCCAGGAGACAGGCCACACAGATGCTAAAACTGCAGAATCTGGGTAATTTGGAAAGGGTCAACAGACCAGGGATACTGTGGGGCATTGGCGTCTACGAAGAGTGGTCTTTTATCATAAGGATGCAGGGGGCCGGGTGCGATGGCTCACGCCTGTAATCCCAGCACTTCGGGAGGCTGAGGTGGGCAGATTGTGAGGACAGGAGTTCAAGACCAGACTGGCTAACATGGTGAAACCCTGTCTCTACTAAAAAATACAAAAATTAGCTGGACATGGTGGCTCGTGCCTGTCATCCCAGCTACTTGGGAGGCTGAGGTAGGAAAATTGCTTGAACTGGGACCTGGGAGGCAGAGGTTGTAGTGAGCCGAGATCGCGCCTCTGCACTCCAGGCTGTGCTACAGATCGAGACTCCATCTCAAAATACATAAATAAAAGGAAAAAATAAGGGTACGTGGGCAGAAAAGTGGAGGTAGGGGATCGGGATGGGAAGGGAGGAGGTATTAGGGGCACTACCTTCAGCATCTTGACTTGTCTAGGCCAGGGGAATGACCATATACGCACACATATCTCCAGTGATTCCCTGGGCTCCAGAGAACCTAACAGTTCGCAAATTGAGTGAATCCCAGCTAGAACTGAACTGGAACAACAGATTCTTGAACCACTGTTTGGAACACTTGGTGCAGTACCGGACTGACTGGGACCACAGCTGGACTGTGAGTGACTAGGGATGTGAATGTAGCAGCTAAGGCCAAGCAAGTAGGGCTGAAGGATTCAACTAGCCAGATAGAAGGACCTAATATCAAGCTCCTGTTGTCTGCCTCACAGCTCCTCTGCTTACCCCTTACCCTCCCTCCTCCAACTCCTTTCCCTATCATCACCAGTGAGTTTTCTTTTTCTTTTTCTTTTTTTTTTTTTTTGAGACGGAGCCTCACTCTGTTGCCCAGTCTGGAGTGCAGTGGTGCGATCTCGGCTCACTGCAACCTCTGCCTACCGGGTTCAAGTGATTCTCCTCCTTCAGCCTCCCGAGTAGCTGGGGCTATGAGCACGCACCACCACACCTGGCTAATTTTTGTATTTTTAGTAGAGACTGTGTTTTGCCGTGTTGGCCAGGCTGGTCTCGAACTCCTGATCTCAGGTGATCTGCCCGCCTCGGCCTCCCAAAATGCTGGGATTACAGGCATGAGCCACCGTACCTGATACCAGTGAGTTTTCATTAGGGCTTCCCTACCCATACTCTTCCTGATACCAGATAGACAAGTAAACAAAAGGAAGCCATTAAGGGGATCTGGAGGGGAGGCTTTAGATTCAAGTCAGTGAAGGGAGCAATGTGGCTTGAGCAGTCAAGAGAGAAGAGAGAAACTGGGAAGTAGCCGAGATGACACTGGTGAATGTTCAGGCATATGTTTTAATTCTCTCTTCTTTTATAGACACTCACTTTCCCTTATCCTCTTTCTCCTCAAGGAACAATCAGTAGGTCACAGTCATAGCTTCTCTCTGCCTAGTGTGGATGGGCAGAAACGCTACACATTTCGTGTTCGGAGCCGCTTTAACCCACTCTGTGGAAGTACTCAGCATTGGAGTGAATGGAGCCACCCGATCCATTGGGGTAGCAACACTTCAAAGGGTAAAATGGGCCCACATTACCCCAATCCATAAGCCCAACACCCCAGCCTTTCTAACACCACTGTCTTTTGCTCCACTTCCCGCTCACTAAAGCCCCCAAACTTGGTGCCTCATGTCCCCACACTGTCCAACCCCAACCTCTAGAAATCAAAGTTTTTCTGTGTAGATTTGGGTTAGCGTGTTGTTAGAGTAGGGGGGTGGTTTGAGAAGGAGGCTGAGGGGTATTCAAGGGGGCTATAGAATGTATAGGATTTCCCTGAAGCATTCCTAGAGAGCCTGCAAAGTTGAAGATGGCTTTAGAACCAGCTGGATCTAGACACCGCCACATACTACCTCTTTGGCCTTGGGCACATCACTAAACTCTTTGATTCTGTTTCCTGAGATGTAAGATGGAGATAATAAGTGTTCCTGCCTAACAGGAACTGTTGTGAGGATTAAACAGAGAGTATGTCTTTAGCGCAGTGCCTGGCACCAAGCTGGGGCTCCACAAAGTTGGCGTATAGTAGGGACACAACAAATATAAGGTCCACTTTGCTTTTCTTGTTTCTATAGAGAATCCTTTACTGTTTGCAGTGGAAGCTGTGGTTATCTCTATTGGCTCCATGGGATTGATTATCAGCCTTCTCTGTGTGTATTTCTGGCTGGAACGGTGAGATTTGGAGAAGCCCAGAAAAATGAGGGAGGCAGTGGCTGAGAATAGCAGAGGAGGGTTTTGCAGGGTCTCTAGGAGTAAAGGACAGGACAGTAAGGAATGAGAGATTAGCCAAGAGGGTTTGGTGATGGAAGGAAGCCACAGGCACAGAGAACACAGGATCACTTTATTTCATATGGGACAAATGGGAGAAGGGTGATAAAAGAGCTTTAACCTATGTGCTCCCGCTCCCTCTTTCTCCCCTGTCAGGACAATGCCCCGAATTCCTACCCTGAAGAACCTAGAAGATCTTGTTACTGAATACCACGGGAACTTTTCGGTGAGAACGCTGTCACAAGCATGCTGCAGTCTATCAACTGCCAACTGCCTGCCAGCAAGACAGACAAAGTGTGGGGGTGGGGGCAGAGAGAAGAGGGAAGGAGGCCCTGCACTAACTGTCAGGATGTGGCCGACCAAATGCGGGAGAGACACACACTGTCTCTCTATACACACTATACAGAGAGAGACACACGCTGAAGTGCAGATTATAGATTGAGTGAGGCAGATGGAAACGGTGGTACTAGGGGCCCAGGAGTCTGTGTATCCCTTCTGTAATCAATTACAGTGGTTGCAGACATCACAAGCACTCCTTTGGCACAGAGCTTGGTCTTTTATTTCCTGCCTCTAATTGACCCCTGACCTGGACATATCTGTCTTTAGGCCTGGAGTGGTGTGTCTAAGGGACTGGCTGAGAGTCTGCAGCCGGACTACAGTGAACGACTCTGCCTCGTCAGTGAGATTCCCCCAAAAGGAGGGGCCCTCGGGGAGGGAGCTGGGGCCTCCCCATGCAACCAGCATAGCCCCTACTGGGCCCCACCAAGTTACACCCCGAAGCCTGAAACCTGAACCCCAATCCTCTGACAGAAGAACCCCAGGGTCCTGTAGCCCTAAGTGGAACTAACTTCCGTTCATTTAACCCATCTGCGTCCCATGCTCATCTCGCCTCCCTGTGGCTGATTTGGAATTTTGTGCCCCCGTGTAAGCGCCCCCGCATTTGGTATCCCCCACGTGAGAATTGTCCTTTTGCCCTGTACATGTTTTTCATCTCCCCAAGTCTGACCCTTCCTTTTTGCAGGATTCTTCCTCCCTCCCTCTTTCCCTCCCTTCCTCTTTCCGTCTACCCTCCGATTGTTCTTGAACCAATGAGAAATAAAGTTTCTGTTGATAATCATCAAAAATGTCTGTCATGGGGGTGGGGAGCAGGGGAAACATGGGATGCAATGAGGGTGAGAGGGGAAGAAATAGGAGTAGTACATTCATGCTGTGGAAGCAGGAGTGTTACCAATTCGCTAGAAAAAGAGTACAGTTCTGGAAACTGATTTTTTTCCAGGTGTCCTGCACTCATTCCAGGGTTTAGTTTAGAGTTAGACTTACAATGCGCTGGGTGAGGTGGCTCACGCCTATAATCCCAGCACTTTGGGAGGCTGAGGCATGTGGATAATGAGGTCAGGAGATCGAGACCAGCCTGGCCAACATGGTGAAACCCTGTTTCTACTAAAAATACAAAAATTAGCTGGGAGTAGTGGTGTGTGCCTATAATCCCAGCTACATGGGAGGCTGAGGCAGGAGAATCGCTTGAACCTAAGAGGCAGAGGTTGCAGTGAGCCAAGATTGAGCCACTGCACTCCAGCCTGAGCGACAGAGGGAGACTCTGTCTGGAAAAAAAAAAAAAAAAAAAAGAGTTAGACTTACCATACTTACCATGTTTCACCCACTTTCCAACTAATATTTTACACGCCCCACCCAAGTTTTTCTCTCCTTATCCTTACTCTACTTTTTGGCCACACCTGCCACTTCTGACCTCATAATCCCTCAACTGCAGCCTCAGGCCCCACCCCTGGGGATGCTGGTAATCCACAACTACCAACAGCTCTCTCCTGGCTGCCCAGCCTGGGCATTCTCAGCCTATGAAATCCACCTGCATCTCCAGTCCACCAATCATATAGGCGCATTTGCCCCATGGAAGGCCTCTAGAACACCATCCTTCTGCGTGACTCATCAGTGAGGCGATCTTGAGGGCATGTTCATCTACATCAAACATGGAGGTGAAGGGCAGCACAGAACTACTGTCTGTGGATGGGGGTGGAGGGATCTGAGGGCAGTGGAGATCACAGAAATGGGCCCACGTGTCCCATTCCATCTCTTCTCAGATAATCAGCAGTTTCTGGTCAATACCAACTGCTCTGTCACCGTGATGCTGTATTACATCCGCAAAAAACTACAGTTGCCTAAAACAAGTGAGGAGATTGGGAAGGGGACTAATGGCCAAAGGTCAGAAGTAGCTGGGTTGTCTCTAATCCCCAAGCCCTCCTCCTGGCAAGAAGGGAGTTCTTCATATCCTTACAGCTTCCTCCAACCCATTCTGTATAGGATCACTGGCCCCTTTTACTCCCACTCTCTTTCCTTAGCTGCCCCATTTACCCTGTGGTCTCCCTCCAGGCTCCATCGATTTGTGTGATGAAGCAGGGACGATGAAGATGTTTTTCCAGATGAAGCCCAACCATACAGACTATGCCAGCAAATACCTTACAGCTCGAAGCACCTACTATGTTTGTAAGGTGGAGCGTGGGCCACCAGGTAGAGTCTTGGGAGTGCTCCCCAGAAATAGGACAAGGCCTTCAAGATAGATTATAAACCGTATCGTTAAAACAGGGCATCCAAGGCTGGGCACAGTGACTCGTGCCTGTAATCTCAGCACTTTGAGAGGCCAAGGCATGAGGATCGATAGAATACAGAAGTTGGAGACCAGCCTGGGCAATATAATGAGACCCTGCCTCCCAAAACAAAAACAAAACCCAAAACAACCAAAACCAAATTAAAACAAAAATGGAACACCCTCAACCAGATCCAAACTGACCATCTCTAGTCAGCCTAAGGAAGGGCACTGCCTCTGTAACAGTAGATCAGGCTCACACATATGCTCTCCTAGGTCCATACCTACGGGGAAGAAATAAGATCCACCAGCTCAAGGTAGTTTTTTTGGTTTTGTTTTTATTTATTTATTTCTCTTGAGAAGGAGTTTTGCCCTTGTTGCCCAGGCTGGAGTGCAATAGTGCAATCTCGGCTCACTGCAACCTCTGCCTCCCAGGTTCAAGCGATTCTCCTGCCTCAGCCTCCCGAATCGCTGGGACTACAGGCGCCCACCACCACGCTCTACTAATTTTTTGTATTTTTAGTTGAGACGGGGTTTCACCATGTTGGCCAGGCTGGTCTTGAACTCCTGACCGCAGGGGATCCACCCACCTCAGCCTCCCAAAGTGCTGGGATTACAGGCCTGAGCCAGTGTGCCCAGCAAAGTAGTAGTCTATTTATTTACTTAATTTATTTATGATGGAGTCTCGCTCTGTTGCCCAGGCTGAAGTGCAGTGGTTTGATCTTGGCTCACTGCAACTCTGCCTCCTGGATTCAAGCAATTCTCCTGCTTCAGCCTCCCAAGGAGCTGGGATTACAGGCATCCACCACCATGCCCGGATAATTTTTTCTTTTTTTTTGTATTTTTGGTACAGATGGGGTTTTACCATGTTGGTCAGGCTGGTCTCAAACTCCTGACCTCAAGTAATCTGCCCACCTTGGCCTCCCAAAATGCTGGGATTCCTGGTGTAAACCACCACACCCAGCAGGTAGTCTTTAGTGTTGGGTCCTGGAATCTTGGGCTTCAGAAGGATGGAGACTGGATGACAAGGGCTGGAGATAGCACATGGCTATATTCACACACGACTCTATTTCACAGGAACCAGGACGGAGGCTGCTTACAAAGGTTTTGTGCCTCTCCTCAAGAATCCGGAGCCTCTGCTGCTTGGTAAGAAGTGAGATGGGGGAGGGAAGAATATGAAGGGTACAGAATACAGCTTTGTGATGGAGAATGTAGGGTGGGACTAGTGTGATATGGTAGGTCAGATAATAGGAGCCTAGGAAAAGGGGGGCAGGGTCCAGGTCCACTTTAGGAGGGATGTTTAGCTCACACCAGGTGTAATGTGTGTGCATTACTCCCTCCTTTTCCCATTTCTTCTTCTTCTTCTTCTTCTTTTTTTTAATTGAGACAGCGTTTTGCTCTTGTTGCCCAGGCTGGAGTGCATTGCAACCTCCACCTCCTGGGTTGAAGTGCTTCTCCTGCCTCAGCCTCTGGAGTAGCTGGGACTACAGGTGCCTGCCACCACTCCCAGATAACTGTGTATTTTTAGTAGAGATGGGTTTTCTCCATGCTGGTCAGGCTGATCTGGAACTCCTGACCTCAGGTGATTCACCCGCCTTGGCCTCCCAAAGTGCTGGGATTACAGGCGTGAGCCACCATGCCCAGCTCTGCTTTCTCTGTTTCTTGGCCATCTTCTCTGTATATCTTCCTACCACCATCCCATCATTTCCATCTTAGGCCAGGTGGGGCTCCAGCTGATGATATGAACAATGGATGGGAGCATCAGAAAGGGTAAGGTCTCTAGTCCTCAGAGGTGCAGGTGCCTTTTCCTTGTTTTTAGTTGCACTGCGCGCACAGTGTGACGCCCTGGAGAGGAGCCGACTTGAGAGGCTTAAAATACTAGAAGCCAAGAAAGTCGTTACAATTGAACCCTCTGCAATTATCCCGGTAAGGATCACCAAATGTGGTCTGCCCCAGCACCCGGCTCTCCCCACCAACCAACCGAATGTTCCTCCATCCCAGCCCTCTCAGATGAACTTCCTGCCTCCAGTTTTTTTCCTTCCTTTGGCCCTGGGTTGTAGAAACCTTTGCTGCAGGGGCCTCTTTGTTTACTTACTTTCTTTTTCTAGTCCAAGCTATCAGGACGAGATGAAAAGAAGTCCGGTCGCAAGTCTCCGACCTCTAAGACCAGAGTAGATTTCAGGAAGGATAAACGTCGTCCACCACCCACTAAACCCACCAAGCAAAAGAAGTAATACAAGGTGTGAAATTACTGGAATTTAGTGTGAGATTTCTGTTTCTAGAAAGATTTCTCCCAATATCTGCACTAAGGCTTGAGTACGTAAGCCCCAGGCACTGAGGAGGCTCTAAGGGTGGATGGGAACGGCAGGAGAGGGCTGGGACAAGCCCATGGGTGGGGGTGAGGAAGGCTGTGAAGTCTAGTACAATGAGCCTTTGAGGGAAGGAGCAGGGGGTGGGGTCTTCTCAAACCGGACTACCTCCCCTAGGGAGGCCTATCTCACAGTCCGCCTACTCCTGCAGGGCTTAGGTGTCCCTCCCCCCTATACTGCGCCACTTCCCCGGGCTGAAATTCCCCCACCCTCCACGTCTCTGCCTCTGGGCAGTTTCTTCCTCCAGCCCTTTGCCTTTCCCCCTCCCTCTCCCTTATCCAAGGGGAGCAGCAAGACAGCAGAAACCAGAGCTGGTTATAGGCATTTATTGAATTTATTCATTTATTGATTTGACACACTTCCCCACTCCAATCTAGCACATGATACAATCTGGGTAGGCCAGGCACTGACACAGGAAATGATGGGAACCCACAGCAGGGGTGGGGGAGGGGACGATGCAAAGGGTACTGGGGGAAGGGCTGCTTTGGGGGCTGGGGTGGAGAAGGAGCCCCAGATGGCCTCACTGGCAGGTGCTAGTAAACCTGATCCACATTGCCCCCCATCCCTGCTCATTTCCCAGACCCTCAGCCAAGCTCCCCCGCTCCCCCTTCCCTGTTTCTCCCCTCCCGCTGCCTGCCGCCACACACTTCCACAGAACCCCTGCCGTCAGGGAAGGGGAAGAAGGGCAGGGACAGCTGTCAGGGGCCCAGAACAGGGAGGTCTCTGTACCTAACTTTACCATCCTAAATCCTTCCCTTCTTCTCTTCTCTCCCCTCCCATTCCCTTCCCTGGGCCCAAGCTAATTCCAGGCCCTCAATGTACTCTCCCACCGTAGCACTAACCCATGCTGGATCATAGAAGAGCGTAGCTGCACCCCAACACCACATACTCCCAGGCACAAGCTGAAGGAACGAGGGGAGCTGGCTTAGCTTTTTTCTTAGGGAAACTCCAACCTATTTCTGCATAGACCTTTCGCTACACCTGGTCCAACCGGGAGCTCTTCCCTGTGTCCATGATTACTCCCCACCTCTCCCCCACTTCCCTGTGCTCTGCTAGCATTTACTATCTGTAGTGTATCATGTCACTATCAAAAAGCCTTCAGAAAGAAAAAAAGCATTCGGCCCACCGCTAGCACCCTGCCATGATTAAAAAAAAAATCTCTATATTTGTTTTCATATTTCTTTAAAAGTTTATAAAAAGCCTTTCTGTTATCTGCAGCCTTCTAAGGGTGATTTGGCCTGGCGAGCCACTCCAGTGCTCAGATCTTGGCCTTTCCAGATCCTCTAAACCCCCCACCCACCCCACACCACTGGCCTAAGGGGCCACTGCATAGAAATCCCAGGCTCTAGCTAGCCTGGCTCAGCTCAGATAAGACTCTCTACAAAAAAATCCTGCTCCCAAAGGCAGGGGTAAGGCCACTGGTGACTTCACATTTCCAATAGCATTGACCATCTCACTAGAAAGCCTAGGGGGTAGGGATGGGGAAAGCTGAGAATAGCTCCTGAGAGGGGGCCTTACCCCCTAATTGGCACAGTGAGAAAAACCCTCTCCCCTTTCCCCTCCCGTCTCCCTCCCCACATCATCCCCAGATGGGGCAGTTTTATCTTTATAGTTTCCTCAGCACCTGTGTGTGACCAGACCCCACCCTAGCTCTAAAGCAGGGTCCCAAATTCCTGGGGAGGGCTCAAGGGTATAGAATGGATATGGACGCGCCTGGCTCCACCCTCTGAAGCAGGGGACAAAGCTTCCAGCCATGACTCAGGGATCTGTGGGAAAAAGAAACAGAGAACAAGGTAAGAGGCTTATCTGGGGCCTGCCAACTTTCTACCATCCAGATGCCCACCAAAGAAGATGGTGGCACCTCCCCTGCTTCCACACACACACCTTTTCTGTGCTACCTTGCAGGGATGGGCACAGCTGAGGGGCCTGGAGGTCCCATCCAGAAACTATGCTACTCTAATATGACATCCTCCCTCCAGTTCCCCAGGAGCTCTGGCTACCACTTGTCCTAAATCTCCCCTTCACCCAGATGAGGGGACTAGTTGGGCACCTAGGAGTCGACATAGGCTATGAGGTGCTGTGGTGATTAGGGGGTACTGTACCTGGCTCAAAGTTGAAGTCCAGTCCCTCGCCCCCATCCATGAGGTCACTGATGATGTTATCCATGTCACACTCCAGGTTCTCCATATACATGTCAAGATCTAGATCCTGAGGCATTCTGTCTGGGCTTGCAGCTTCAGTAGGGGGTGTGGGCACAGGAGTCCCCAGAGCCTTGGGGATAGGGGCACTTGCCATGACTGGAGGCGGTGCTATCATAGAAAGGTTGGGAACCAGACTGCTGGGGCCTGGAGCCTCTAGGGGCTTGGGACACAGGCCAACGCCCGTGGCCATCTTACTGGAGGAAGGAAGCCCCCCCAGCAACAGAAGTGTTGGAGCCTGGGACAGAATGGGATCTACCTGGGTCATGAGGACATCAGCAGGGGGTGGTGGTGTATCAGAAGTGAGCAGGGCCTCCAGAGCCTGGGAGCTGGAGAAGCACCCTTCTCCTGCTGACAGGGACCCCTCTGCTGGGCTGAAGAGGGAGCTGCTGTAGGCGTGTAAGGGCCCGGTAACCCCAGGATGCTGCAAAGAGAAGCCAGAGAGACCACTCCGAGAGAGCAGGGAATGGGAAGAGGTGAGATTGAGCCCATCTAACAGCTCCAGACCTTCATTGAGGGTGGGAGGGACACTCCCTGCATAGCTGCTGACTGAAGCTGGTATTTCCTCCGCCAGCACCTCAGACTCTGGCCTCAAGGGGGACAGCCGGGTGCTGACAGTGCTGGCATTTGAACTGCTTCGTGGACGGAAGGCGGTCCACATATCGGCTTCCTCACGGTTTCGAGAGCAAGGGCTGCCTGACCACTTGGAAAAGTGGCCAGCAGGGCTCGCTGGAGTGGCACCTTCAGGTGGAGCTGGCAGCACGGGTGCTTTCTTCTTGGAGGCTTTACTGCGGCCCCGGAGCAGCTTGCTGCTGCTATCCATGGAAGCGGCCCGGCGGCGGGGGGCTTTGCCGCTCTTGCCTCCCTCGGGGTTCAGCATCCACCAAGAGCTTTTGCCAGTGGCCTCGTTATGAACCTTGATGAACTTGCTGTGCAGGGACAGGTTGTGGCGGATCGAGTTCTGGAGGGGACAGAGACAGCAGGAAAGGGGCATGAGGTGTGTAGGGGAGGTCAGCGGCCAGCAGTCTAGTCTAAGAGGATGCTGGTCCCCGTTGATCTAGGGGTTAGGATTTGGTGCCACCACAGCAGCAGAGTTCATTTCGGGGATTCATTTCCCAGGTCATTAAAGTTTAAGAAAAACTTTAAATGATTTCCAAAAAAAAAAAAAAAAAAAAAAAAAAGAGAGAGAGAGAGAGAAAGATAAAAGGTAAAAAGATGCTGGGACACAGCAGGGGCATTCCTGGAGACTCAAAGAAAGTTGAATCCAGGAGGGAAAACTGGTAGAAGTAGGGATGGGGGTGGGGTATGAGGGGAGACCACACACATTTCCCGCTCCGAGACAGGCTGCGCAGCCTCTGCTCCAGACTTCTCTGTACAGGCGGTAGGAGATAATGTGTAATAACCCACTGCAGAGGGCACAGGGGTTCCCACCCTGGAAAAGTTCCTGGGACTGTGTTCCTCCCAGGGCTCGGTGCGTGTTTTGCAGGGGTACCTGGGGCTGGTGGGCATCGGGGAGATGTACTCCTCACCCAGCAAGAACTAGGATCAAGCGGGAAATAGCATTCCACCTCTTTCCTTGAGGGCAGGTTTGGGTGGAGTTTACAGGATAGTGGTACAGCACCAGCCCAGGATGGACCCGCACTGCCCAGAGCCGGTTCTCAGAATAGGCTGAAGGGCTGGAATCTCAGCGCAGCAGGTGCTCCATTCCCCACAGAGCATTTGGGCCACCCAGCTCTCTGCAGAATTTAAAGATTCCTTCCCCCCCCCCACCAATCCCAGCCTTATTTCTTGTAATCCACAACACACACCCTCAACTACATTCAGTTCAGGTTCGGGCTTCTTGCTGCGTCTCAAAAACGTGAGGTGCCTTCTTCCCTTCCCCTCTTTTCTGAGGAGGATCTCCCGTCTCTAAGTTCTACTAGTTCCGTCAAGACCAAGCTTCAGTTCGACCTCTTTCGTAAAGCGGCTGCCTGACTTTCACAGCCAAATTTCTAGTATAGTATTTTTTAAATCTGCGCCACACAATTTTACCCAATTCATATTGTGTGGTTTATGGTTTCACGTAATTCTTCTCATCGTGCGTTAAGTGCCAAGTGTAATGTCCGCCAGTCCCACATCCCCCAACAGAGCCCTCCCAGAGCATCAAGCTCACAGCACATACTCAATATCTACTCAAGCTCACAGTACATAATCAATATTTGTACCTGATTGGTGGGTGCCCCCTGGGTTGACCGTGGTGAGGCTCCCTTTGAGGCTCTGCCAGCTCTTCAGTGCCTTGGGTATTGGAAGCTGTTTCCCTTCCTCCCTGACTGGTGGCAGTCTATCAGGAAAATGTTGCTTTCCAGTGGCCCGAGGAGCTCAGATTGGTAGCTTCTTCAGCACCCCGTGCAGCTTATATTTACTGATTGCCGAGGGGCAGGCTAGTTACACTAGGGGTTTGGCCCTCCCCTGGCCACCACCCCTTCCCAAAACCTGCCTCCTTTTCCCTACCTCCTTCCCAGTGCCTTTCTCCCATTTCTTAGGAATTTGTGCATCAACTCTTCAACCTTGGGGGCATTTGACCTCCCACACGGAGTTCTTTAGTTTAGAAACTCTGAAGGAGCCCAGAAGTGCTTGGAGCAACTAGGAGGCTGAGGCCATGGATCAGTCCGAAACTACTCGTTTCTCTGGTGCTTTTAAGATAAGGAGACCCTTTGCCTGGGGAATGATGATTCTTGTTCTAGGGCTCTTTAGCCAAAGAACTCCTTGTGTTCCTGGACCCT